GCGGCGCCGCGGCGGGGCTCTGTCCCGGGCGCTGCTCCCGGGCCCCGCCGCGCTGGGGCCTGCGGGGAGGGGAGGGGGCTCGGGCGCCCGGGGCGGGCGGCAGCAGGTGGGTAAGTCCCGGCGCCAATGAGCAGGCGCTGGGCTCCCCTAGCAACAGTGCCCGCGCCAATGGGCGCCGCGAGCCGCCCGCACCGCTGCCCGCAGCCCTGCCCGGCATCCCGTGTCGGCCCGTGCCAGCCCCACAGCCGCCGGCCAGCCGTTCCGTGCCGCATCCCCGGTCCCCTGGGCCGGCAGAGCCCTGCTCTCACTCCACACACCGTCGCCCATCCCCACAAGGGCCGGAGCGTCGCGCCCGGGCTCTGCGGGTAAAGTCCAATCCTGCTTAGCGTCCCCCCGGGGGCTCGAGTAGGGGCCCAGCGCTTGGCTGCCCACTCCCTACCCGCCTGCTTCCTTGGGATTAGGCTCTGTGTTCGGCTTCCCCACGGGGATTTGCCGTGGCTGGTGTTGCCTTCCCCAGCCAAAGGGAGGAAGGAGGTTGTCGGCAAGGGATGAGATGCCAGTGGAGCCCGTCTGGGCAGCAGCAAGATGCTGGGCAACAGGAAGCCGTGCCTGCAGCCTTTGCCCTCTTCCCAGAGCGCTGTTTTTGTGAGCTTGTCCTGAACTGGCCGCATAAACTTGGCACTTGGAAGGGGTGATGCTGGCCTGGGGACAATTTGTGACAATAAACCCATTCTAAACCAACTGAGCCTATAAAGGGACTAGGGGAGTGAAGGGGTGATGGAACTGGCTCCAGGTGGGAGCAGGCAGACGGATGCTGTAATTAGGTTTAAACTGAAGCTGGATCAGTCTTTGCAGGGGATTATGACCCCTCCATCTGTGTAGGCACTGCGGGGGGCCCAGTAACTGTTTGCTCAGCATCCCGGCATAGCCACAGCCTTAGGGGTGAGCCCTTGGGTAAGGGGCAGTGCCAGCTACAGCTCGTACCCTTCCGACCCCGTGGATTGGCATGGGAGGGCTGGATCTAGTGTGAAGGCCCAGTTTGTTTTTACAAGGACAGTGAGAGCTGGAGCAGAGATGAAAAATAGCCAGAAATATGATTAGAGGATTGGAGAAAATGCCTTGGAGTACAAGCTTAAAGAGCTCAATCTGTTTAGCCTATAAAATAGAAGACTGAGGGGTGACTTAATTACTGAGCATAATTACTTCACAGGCAGAAAATACCAAGTTGTGGAAGTCTCCTGTTAATCGAACAGGGTGCCGGAGAGGCATGGGCAGGAAATTGAAGCCACAGACAAATTATTAAGTGACACGAAGCTCCCAGGGATACAGGCAGACTCTCTGGGGACAGCACATCCCTTCAGCCACACGTTGGGTGACAGTCTGCACCCCCACTGATGAGGCTGTTCCCCCATTCCCTCCATTCCTACCCACGTAGTGGGGGCACAGAGCAGGATTTCTGGTAGCCAGGTGCTGAGTGGTGGGATCGCTGCTGGGCATGTGCCATCCCAGTTCCTCCATTCTCCTTGTCTCTCTCCCACCAGGTGGGGCGGTGACGGGGCACAGTTCTGCCGGCGGGCTATGAGGCAGGAGTGGAGATTTTGATGCCTCTCCCAGGAGTCCCCAGAGCCATGACTGCAACTGTGCAGACGCTGCGGTTCAAGCTGCTGCCGCACGAGCCAGGCCAGGAGTGGGGGCACAGCTGCCAGCAGGAAATTGAGCGTCGCTACCAGGTGGTGCCCTCAGTGGTGTGCGCCATGTGCTGCCTTTTTGGCATCATCTATTGCTTCTTCGGTGAGCCAGGCCAGCCCAACTGCTGGTGGGGCAAGTGGGGAGGAGGGTGGAGGGGAGCTGGGGGGCACTGGCCGTCCCCTCCCTGACTATGGTGGTCTCTCCACAGGCTACCGCTGCTTCAAGGCTGTCATGTTCCTGACGGGGCTGATGTTCGGCTCTATCATCATCTTCATGCTGTGCTACAAGGAGCGGGTGCTGGACACACAGCTGAGCGTGGAGGCCTCAGTGGGCATTGGGTTGGGCATTGGAGTCTTGTGTGGGCTGGTCACCATGCTGGTGCGCAGCGTTGGCCTCTTCATGGTGGGGCTGCTCCTGGGGCTGCTGCTGGCGGTGGCCACACTGGTGGTGATGGAGCAATTCTACCACCCACCAACGGTGTGGATCCCCATCGCACTGCTCTTGGGTGTGGGGATGCTCTTTGCTGTCCTCACACTGCAGTGGCAGCGCTTCTTCACCACCCTCTCCACCGCCGTCTTCGGCAGCGCCATCATGACCGTCACTGTCGACTACTTCATCGAGCTCTTCCTCCTGGTGCAGTACATCTATGAGCGCATCAAGGTGGCCCCTGCTCGCCCTGTGTGCTGGTACAGCTGGGTCATCCTGGGCATCTGGCCGCTCCTCACCACACTGGGTGTCCTGGTGCAGTGGAAGGTCACAGGCGAGGGCTACTCCCATACAGAAGGTGTGTGGGCAGTGGGGCACATGGGCATGGCACAGGGTCGGTGTAGGAGCTGGGAACCTGGGGACTGGGGTGGATGTTTCCAGCATGGGGTTCACGAGATCAGATACGGGGTTCAGGACTCTGTGGTGGCTCACCACCCAAGGGACACCTGGTTGCACAAAGGTGGTGCTGGTTTGGCTGCGGGGAGCATTTGGATGTGCTCCCCAGTGCTCACAGGTCGCTTTGCTCCACAGTGATCATCAGCCGGCAGCAGCGCCGCGTGCAACTGATGCGCATCAAGCAGAGGGAAGACCGAAAGGAGAAGAAGAAGAAGCGGAGACCCCACCACCCACCACCCCACCAGCACAAAGCCCACCCCCCTGAGCCTGCTTACCGCCGCAAGCCCAACCCTGTGCGCCGCTTTGATGGGGACGTGCTCTCCCCCGTGAGTCCCGCAGCCAGGGTAGAGATCTCCCCCAGTCTCCACAGTCATTCCTTCTCTGTGTCGGGGGGACTGGGGCACCAACTAACATCTGAGCTCCTCGAGGGATGAGACTGGGGTGTCCCAGGGACTAAGCAGCTCAAGTTGGAATGGGCCATTCCTACTATGGAGCACTTCAGCCTTTGCAAGCAAATGAAAACTGCTGGCCAAGAGCGCTGTTGGCATAGCAGAAATAAGCAGTAGGCAAGGTGCAGAATGCCCAGGGGAGGGATAAGGCTCTGCTCCCTGCTGTGGCCAGCCACTGGAGAGCCCGAGTGCTGGGGATTTCACTGGGCTGTTTTTGTGGGGGGGACAGGAAGGGGCTGCAGCAGCATTTAGGATGGGGTGGAGTGGTCCATGAGGAGAACCCCCCTCACTTTCTGCTCCTGTCTCACAGAGCTACATCCAGAGTTTCCGAGAGCGGCAGACAGGACCATCACTGAACAGCCTCATCGCCAGCTCCCATGCCGTGGTGGACCTGGACTATGACTGCAGCTCCACCGTGCCCCTCACCTCGGGCTCTGGCCCTGCTGTGAGGGTATAAGCCAACCCAGTGACCTCGAGCAACACCAGCACCCCAGCCTGCTCTGACAGAACCCCTGAGACAGGCAGGGCTTTGTCCTCAGCCCCAGGTGGCCACATGCGGCTTGGGGCTGCAGATGGAAACCCTTCTTGGAGACACATGGGACTTGTCTGGGGAAGCCCCAGCTGCCAGTGGGGCCCAAAGGTGCTGGGGAAGCCCTTTGGCAGGGACTCAGCCCAAGGAGCAGAACCCATGGACGTGCAGTGCGAGTGGCTCTGCTGGGGTGGTGGGTCCCGAGCCCCCACTGCTGTGCATTACCCTACGGCCCGGGCACGCTCATCCTGCATCTTAACGTTTCCCCATATTTGAGTCCCCCCCTTCCCAGGAGCAGCTCCCCACCCCACTGCACCCCCAGCAACTCCCCAAGTGCCTGTCCCCTATGTCCCTTCCTCAAAGAGCAGGTCCTATGGCCCTTTTCCCAGCAGGGAATCCCCTGAGCATGTGAGCCCTGTCCCACCCTGTCCCCAAGAGCAGCTCCCAGGCAGTGCTTCCCAAAACCTGCCTCCTCAGAAGATACTCCTGCCCTAGCCACCCTCCCTACACCCCAGAGCGGCTTGCCACTCCTTTTTCCCAAGCTGGACCGGGGTGGTCCTGGGGCAGAGACTGCCATGGCCAGGTGGTGCCCAAGGTGATGCTGGCAATCAGTGCCTGTCCAGCAGGAGCTGCGCTGGCAGGGTGCATCCCACACAAAATGTTTTGATGGGAGACAGGACATTGGCTCCAGCCTTTGGGCAAAGGCTGGGCTGCCTCAGGGATGCGGGGACCCCTGCAGCATCAGAGACCGTCGCTGTTTTGCTGGCGACTGGATTTTTATAGTGGCCGGGGGACCCTGGGGCAGGGCAGGGCAGGAGCCCCTGCCCAGAGCACTGCTGCGGGCAGAGGCTCACGCCTTGTATATATTTCTCTTGCTGTGATTTGTATTAACTTATTACGGAGTGAGCCAGGATTTCCCCATGACCAGGCAGGCAGGATGGTGGTGAGACTGGACCGGGGAGCCCTCTGCTTTGGGAGCCCCCCCAGCCCAGCCCAGCTGGCCCCGCTGCCCCAGGAACTGCATGTTTCTGCCAGGCACCCCCTTCCTGCAGCGTTGTGCTGCCATCCCCCTTTTCAGTCTCTTTTGTAAATGTGCCAAACGCTGTTGAGGCCTCGGCCACACAGTAAAGAGCCTTTCGGAGTCTGGCGTGCAAAGCCAAGGACTGTGGGGGGGGCAGGGGTGAGGGGGGCCCAGAGGGCCGGGCTTCCAGGGATGTTGAGCAGGATGTAGAGTGGTGCCATCACCCTTTCTCTTAACGGGACCCCAGCTTGCTGGTGTGGAAGAAGCCATGTCAGAAAAAAAGGCTGTTTAATGCAGAGCCCTGAGGCTGGGGCAGGCTGGGGATGGTGTCCATGTGTCTGTCTATGCCAGGGGGAGCATGACCCCATCTCTCAGCAGTGGCATCCCAGTCTGCGTGCAGGCCCTGAGAACTGCATCCTGGCTTCTAGCTCCCTGTGGGAACAACGGGAGTCAGAGTGAGCTGGGGCATTGTCAGAGCAGCTGGGGCACCCAAAAGGCATGTCCCAGACAAGGAGGAGCAGACCCCTGGCCAGCCTGCTCTCTCCTGCCCAGCACTCAGACTCTTGCAAGCAGTGGGGGACAGGGACACAGGTTCTGGTGTCCCTTTACTGCAAGGCACAGCAGCACTGGCAGCTGCCAGTGGTGTCCCTCTAGGTGCCCACTCACCCTCCACAAGGAGCCGGGCAGTGGAGCGGTCGTCGAAGGCGTCGCAGGTGTACGAGTCCTCGTCCTCGGGGCCCACGCGGTGAATGATGAGTGTGCGATAGCAGTCCAGGTTGCAGATCTCATACTTGTCACCAGCAAAGATCTCGGTGTCCCCACGGAGCCAGCGCACCCGGCCCCGGGCGTGGGACACGGTGCACTCCAGTGTCGCCTTGTGCCTTGCCAGCACCGTCTTGTCCCGCAGTGGCTTCACAATCCGGATTGGCAGTGCTGGTAGGGGGGGACGGGGTGTCAGCATCATGGGCTGAGCAGGCTTCCATGGGGACACCGCAAGCTGACCTGGTACACCCCAGCCCTGGTGCTACACCCCATCCAGACCTCGCAGCCCGCACTGGTACCTTCCACCTGCAGACTGGCCTCCGAGGTGACTGTCCTGGCTGTGAAGCGGATTAGTCCCTTGTCCTCAGGGCGTACACCACAGAACAGCAGGAAATGCCGGGTCCCTGGGGAGGGAGAGGCTGACTCAAGGTGACAGCAATGCACACCCATAGTAAGCAGGGGGACAGGGATCCCCCTTTGTCTACACAAACTCCCCTTGCTTGAATTTGCCCTATCCCAGCTCCAAACCGGGTGTGGAACCACCTGCATCCCCACCTTCTTGCCGTATCTTCACTGTGCTGGAGACCTTGATCTTCTCCCCATCCCGAAACCACTCGCCCTTCACATCCCCATGTGACACCTCGCAGGTGAAGACTGCGTTGTCACCCTCCCGGACCTGGACATCCTGCAGCTCCTGCACGATGTGGACCTGGCGCTCTGCAGGTAACGGACAGGGTGCCAGAGCAGCCAAGGATAAGGGGAGCAGGCAGCGTAGGGTTTGGGGGTGTACACACTGCTGGGAGCTGGGTGACCGTACCCTGGACATGCAGCATGGCAGAGGCCTGGCAGTCACCTGCATCGCAGGTGTAGCTGCCGGTGTCGCTCAGCTCACAGCGGCTCAGCTGCAGGATGCGGCGCCGTCCCGCTGAGTAGATGCGGCAGTTGGGCCCTGGCCGCAGCTCCTGCCCGTCCTGCACAGAAGCAAACAGGCAGCACCCCACTGCTTTGGCCCCTCTGCTCTGTCTGCAGCCCTGGCAGGGAGGGCAGCGGCCAGGGGACAAAACAAGGAGGAGGACACGGCCAGGTGCTGCTGGAGAGGGTTAGGGTGAGCCCTCACCTTGAACCATTTCACCTCTGCGTTGGGGCGAGACAGCTCACACTCGAAGCTGGCGACCCCTGTCTCTGGGACACCCAGGTCTCGTGGGACCCTCACCATGGTGACTGGAGGCTCTGAGGAGGCAGGACACAGGACAGGAAGGCTTGATAGGACAAAAGCATGGACTTGGAGCTGCAGGGAAGAGTAGCTGTGGCTGGGGCATTTCAGTATGCGGTGAGAGTGGCACTACCCATGGGCAAGCACTCATCAGTGGTGTTCCAGCTGGCTCTGGACCCAGACCCTGGCTGGGTGTCCTCACTGCTTAGCTCACATCTCCTCCCTGAGGACATGGGGACACTTGCCAGCACTCATCCCCCCTGTCCAGGACAGGGGGACACATGTGCCTAGGGTGGCCCAGCTCAGCCTCGGTGTCTCCCACTACAGAATAGCAGCAGGTCAGACAGCACCAGTGCTATACACCCCCCAGCCTGCCCCAGAGACCGTACCCCGCACACGCAGGTGGGCGCTGCAGCGCAGAGTGTCAGCAGTGAAGGTGACAGTGCCTGAGTCTTCCAGTGCAAGCCTCTCCAGTGTCAGGCTGTGCCTGCAGCCTGTGGCGCTGATCCGGCACGTACTGCTGGGCTTCACCCGGATGCCGTCCCGTGTCCAGACCCCGGTCACGCCAGGGTGAGACAGTTCCAGGTGGAAGGTAGCTGTCTCTTTCTCAAAGGTCTCCACGTCTGCCAGTGGTGTCCGGATCGACACCTTGCGGGCTGTGAAGGACCCATGTCTGTGAGTAGGTGTCTGCTGCACTGCAGAGCCCCCGGCTTCCCAGTCTGTGCTTGCTGGAGTGATCGTCTAAATACAGTTGTTTGTACCAGACTCCCACCCCTGGCCACACACCCACTTCTCTGAGCACCCCTTCAGCCAAGTACCAGCTCTGCCCACATGCTCCCGTTGCAGTAGTTGGGTGCCCTCCCTGTCCCCATCCCCAGCCCCGTTGCCTTCCATCCCCATGCCCAGCCTGGTACTCACGCTCCACGTGGAGCTTGGCCTGCGTGCGGTCATGCAGGCTCTCGCAGCGGTAGGTGCCGCGGTCAGCAGGGCCAAGGCAGCAGATGGTGAGGGTGCGCCGGCACCCCGACTCCTGCAGCAGGTACTTGCTGCCCGGCTGAAGGAGGATGCCCTGCTTCAGCCATTGCACCTCGGCAGCCTCATGGCTCACTTCCACCTCCAGGCACACGTCCCCCTGCTCCTCTGCCACCACATCCTGCAGCTTCCGCACAAACAGCACCTGTGCCTCTGCGTGGCCCGTGTGCTGGGTCAGCAGCCGGCCCCAGGGCTGTGTCTTGGGCTGAGCCCCAGCTTTCTCCTTCCCCCTCACCTTGTACACCCAGCCGAGCTGTGCTCACCAGCCCCTCGGCATTGGCTGTCACAGTGCCTGCATCACCTGTCTGGCACTGCCGGAGGGTGAGGCTGTGGCACAGCCCACTCCTTGTCACCAGCAGACGCTCACTGGGGACCACAGGCTGGCCATTCAGCTGCCATGTCACAGCCACATCTTCGGGGGATACCAGGCACTTGAAGGTGGCATCCTCCCCTTCCAGCACTGTCAGGCTCTGCAACTCCATGATGATTTCCACCACCCTGGGGACTACAGCCAGATTGTCAGGGCACAGCATAAGGGACCCTCTGTCATGTAGAGACGCTGAGCATTCCTGCAATCCTGACATCACTGTGCCAGCATCCCCACCACCCCCACGGAATAGGAGTCTCCCAGATGGTGGGGAAGCCTTGGGCTCACCCTGTACCGTCAGCGTCGCCAGGGTTTGGTCGTCGTTGGACTCGCAGCAGTACTCGCCGGCGTCCCCGGGCTCCACGCGGCTCAGCACCAGCGACCGCTCCCGTCCCTCTGCCGTCATCTGCCGGCGAGGGCCAGGCGCCAGCACCCGCCCGTCCTTCCGCCACACCACGTCTCCCCGTGCCTTGCAAAGCTCGCACCACAGCACCACCCGCTCGCCCTGCCGCGCTCGCACGTCCGACAGCCCACGCAGGAACTTCACCCGCAGCTCTGCACAGTCAACCCCCCCATATCAGCACCCGCTGCCACTGCAGGGGGATCCCCGGGCACCCCCAGTGCCCCCCTGCTCCCACCTCGGACGCTCACGTCGAACTGCATCTGGTCGTGCGGTGAGAGGCAGGTGTAGGTGCCGGCGTCCTCCATGGCCACGTTGTGGATGATGAGGCTGTGCACGCGGCCGTCCCGACGCCGCTCGCAGCGCTCGCCGGCCACTGCCGCCCGCTGCGGGCCCAGCCAGGTGACATCGGACCGCTCCGTGGAGGTGATGGCAGAGAGCACGGCACTGCCGCCCTCCAGCACCAGCAGCTTCTCCTGCTCCTCTCGTTTGTTCACAAACAGCACGGGTGCCTCTGCCGGAGGAGCATTGGGCTCAGTTGTGGCTCCGCCAGTGGCACCAGCATTGGAAGGGGGTGCCAAGCATCCCGGCGTGAGGCAGGATGAGACTGCTCCTGCCCCTGGCATGGGCGAGGGACACCTCCAGGCTCACCTTTCACATGTAGTGTGAAATACACCTCATCATCACCGGCGTCGCAGAGGAAGATGCCACCATCACCCAGCTCCGCTTGCTTGATGGTGAGGCTGCGCGTGGGACCCTCGCTGCACACCAGCAGCCGCCCACCTGAGCACAGCGTCTGTCCATCCTTCTGCCACTGCACTGCTGCTGTCTCCGGGGACAGCCGAGCCACCAGTGTCACACTGTCCCCCTCCTGCACCTCCAGTGGGCTCTGTGCCTCCTCCTTGTTGACAATGCACACAGGCCGGGCTGAGGGGTGCAGGGGAAAAGGCAGGGTTCAGGGATGTCCCCACAGTGTGGGACAGTGCAGGGACAGGACTGCTTCAAGTGGAGAGGCGATCCCTCAGTGAGTCACCGTGGGGCAGAAGGGCTGTGGGGCTGGCTGGGGGTCATGGTGGGACTAGACAGGGGTCCCCGAGGGGCAGGCATGCAAGATGGAGAGGTCTGGCAGCTCAGGGTTCACTGAGGGAAGGGACAGCAGCAGAGCCCATCGCTTCCGCATCACTCCCTGTACCGGCAGCATAGCTGCCACGTTGAGACCATTAACTTCATTGTACCCACCCCGCATACAGAACACCTTGCTGGGGAGCCAGGACACCCGCCTGCAACAGGCCCCCTCCCACCCTGCACAGCCCTCCTTCTCCAGCTGATAAGGGTCCAGGCTGAGCTCAGCCTTTGGCAGCTGAAGCAGGAGGAGCGGCGCCTGGGAGCCAGCCAAGGCTAAATTTAAACAGCCCCTGGCTGGGGGAGGCAGCAGGGACATGTCTCGCCACGACCCTGACATGTCTCTTTCTAACCAACGGCTCCTGTAGGGTTGGGGACAGGGCTCCCACCCTTCCCTGCCATGCTGCCACCCTGGCCTCTGCATCAGCAGGGTCACAGAGGCGTCCCCTCCCCTTGTGTCTGTGGCATGACCCCACCATTCAGGGGGTCCCTGGGTTCTGAGCCAGCTCACCCGACACCTCCACATTTGTCACCATGCGGTCGCTGGCAGCATCACAGACGTAGCACCCTGCGTCGCTGGGCTGTGCCCCATTGATGGTGAGCTGTCGCAGCACCCCACGGGCCTCCACCTGCACCCGTTCCCCCGGGTGCACCTCCTGGCCATTCCGGAGCCAGCGCACGATGGCGTCGGGCCGAGAGAGCTCACAAGCCAGCACCAGGTCTTCCCCGGCCACCAGGCAGCGATGTACCACGGTGCCCGTGCTGCCCACAATGGTCACCGGTGGCTCTGGGACTGGAGAGATAGGCTGTCACCACAAAAGCAGCCTGTGCTGGGTATCACAATGGCCAGACCCTGTCCAGACTCCTCTGGCTGCAGCTGAGCAGCACAGAGGTTCCACAGGGCCACCACACAGATGCAGCCTCCTCCCCATGTGCCCCCCACCAGCCTCCCTGTGCTCACTGCTACCCAGCCCAGCCTCACACCACCCTGGCAGCAGCCACAGACCCACTTCACTCCTCTCCCCCTGGCCATCCCCACCAGAACCTCCTGCTCACCTTCTACAGTGATGAAAAAGACGATACTGTCATCACCAGTGTCACAGAGATACTCCCCAGCATCCTTGCCTGTAGCACCCAGGATCACGAGGGATCGGCGCGCCCCGTCCTCCTCCAGCCGCACACGCCCCGTGTCCTGCAGCTTCTCCCCATCCTTGTACCACTTCACCTCCCCATGGGTGTGTGAGAGATGCACCTCCAGCACCAGGTCCTCCATGGCCTGGCAACGCCGGTGGGTCGGCAGGACATCCTTCTCCAGAATCCTGACCAGTGGATCTGCAGCACCCAGCACCAACAGAGCTGAGGTCTCGGGGGCTTGTGCACCCAGCACTCCACACCGGGCTCTTCCCTACCCTCATGCTCACCCAACACTTGGATGGTGAAAGTCACTGTGTCACTGGTGGTGTCACAGGTGTATTTCCCAGAGTGCTCAGCTTGGGCAGCAGGGATGAGCAGCCGGCGATGGACACCCTCCTCCTCCAGGACCAGGCCGCCCCCAGCCTCGAGCCTGACACCCTCCTTTGCCCAGCACACGGGCGTATCCGCACGGGACAGCTCACAGCACAGTGTCACCGTCTCCCCCGGGGACACCGTCATGACAGGGACAGGTCTGCAGGGCTGCAGGATCCTCACCGGAGGCTCTGCAGGTATGGCATGTCCGTGATACAAAGCAGCGCAGGGGCTGGCAGCCCTGGGCACTCCTCTGCTGCCAGCCCCGGGTAAGCTCCTGTGCTGGGTGGCCCAGAGGATGGGCATTCACGGGTGGCCAGAACCACATCAGCACTGACCTGACACCTTGACATCGAAGGAGACGGCCTCATCCTTGGTCTCGCAGATGTACTCGCCTGCATCCTCTGCACTGCTCTTGGGGATGAAGAGACAGCGCCAGGCCCCCTCGACCAGCAGCAGCAGGTTGTCAGTCTCGTCCACCTCCAACCCATCCTTGAACCAGTGCACCGCAGCATCTGGCACGGAGAGCTCGCACCGCAGCTCCACACACCCTGGTGCCTGAACCAGCAGCTCCAGTGAGCGCTGTGGAGGCTGCAGGATCCTCACTGGTGGCTCTGTTGGGGATGTAGAGGAAGAGCGTGAGACTTGCTCGCCGCTCTTCTCCTGGCTCTGCTGTGTCTATTTACTGTCACTTGTGTCCCTGTCTCCATGGGGCTGTATGGAAGCTACATCCTTTCACCCCAGGGCAAAGAGGTCAGAACTGCTATGGGGCAGGGGCAGCAGGCACAGAGATGCAACTGCATGCCCTCCTCCACAATGCTGAGGGCAGGGAGCAGGGCTGGGGACCCCAGAGCACAGAGCCGGGGCAGTGCTACCCTTTCCAGGATGTCCCTGCTGTGCCACCAACCTGCCACTAAGATGGAGTAGGAGACAGATGCATCTCTGGCATTGCAGACGAACTCCCCCGTGTCTTGCATCCGAGCACAGGGCAGCACCAGCCGGTACTGCAGCCCCTCCTCCTGCAGCACCAGGGTCTCGCCCACCTCCACTTCTTCACCATCCTTGTACCAGCGCACCGGGGACACTGGGCGGGACAGCTGGCACCACAGCTCCACGCGCTGCCCGACCACATAGGAGTGAGAGGCCTCCTTGTTGGAACTGACAATCCTCACTGGTACCTCTGCTGGGGACATGGCAGGGCTCAGGTGTGGTGCTGGGTGAGTCCCACGTGAGGACAGGAATCCCCTGGGCAGCTCACTGTTCACGGTCACCCTGAAGCTGGCAGCATTGTCCCCAGCATGGCACGTGTACCCCCCGAGTCAGACAGTCAGTGCAGCAATGTGCAGCCCCCATGAGCATCCCTCTGAGCAGATGGCCAGGACCTGCATTGGGACCACAGCATCTCTCTCCTTCAGCCAGTGGACAGGGGCATCTGCAGGGACACCTGGCACTCCAACACTATGGGCAGCCCTGCTAGCACCTCCCAGAGCTGCTCCGCCTCCAGCACGGGAGTGAGGCAGACCTTCAGGGCTGAGAGGACCAAGACCTTGTGTCACTTGGCCTCCCATCCTACCTGCCCTGGCGGCAGTGGCCATGGATATCCCAGCCCTGCAGTGCTGGTAGCTGCAAGCTGAGGGAACAGCAGGGCTGGGGTGTGAGATGGCATCACACAGAGGCAGGCAGCTGGTTGTGCTCTGGAGTGCAGGGGGGCACTGTGACACAGAGCTCTGGGAGGAGACAGATCAGCTTGTATGCTCCTGCCCACATCCCCTTCCAGCCCAGGGGCATGGGCAAGGAACTGCTCTCAAGGAGGTGTGAGGCAGCTGAGGTGCTGAAGCCACAGTGTGAGCAAGGAGCTGGGGCAGAGGGAGAAGGGGGAGAGGGATGTAGGTGTCTGTTGTACCCACCTGCCACGGTGATGGTGTAGAAGACAGAGTCCCCACCAGCATCACAGACAAACTCCCCTGTGTCCTGTGGCCAGGCGCAGGGCAGCACCAGCCGGCACTGCAGCCCCTCCTGCTCCAGCACCAGGCTCTCACCCGCCTCCACCTCCTCTCCATCCTTGTACCAGTGCACTGGGGCTGCTGGGCGGGACAGCTGGCACCACAGCTCCACACGCTGTCCGGCCACATAGGCGTGGGAGGCGCCCTCGTTGGAGCTGACAATCCTCACTGGCTCCTCTGTGACAGAGAGACATGGGGCTCAGCCAGGACATAAAGACCAGAGCAAGTGACGGTGGCCATCACAGCCCTGTGTGAGTGATGGCTTCACCACTTGTTGGCTTTAAGGCTGGAAGGCACCACATCATCCACATTCTACATAGCAGAAGCTTCTGGACCATTGTGCCTGGGTCTCCCTCTTCTCCTCACGCATTACAACCAGGAGGAGCACCAGGCTTTGAACTGGCTGTAAATTGCTGCCATGCCCTTGCTCCCTTGGTACCTGCCCTGCTTTGCCCTATGGTGGAGTTGAAGGTTGTGGAGGGAGGATGCATATAGACAAGCCCCAGCACTGATAACCACTGTCTGTGGTGCCAGCACCAGCCCCTGCAGCTGCTCTTCAGGGGGTGCCCTCCGCTCTGCCTATCTCCCCATTTCAGAGGCCACCAAGGGCCAGCCAGCGTTTCTGTCCTGACTCAGCCTTGGATTTGCTTATACTGTGGCGCAGGCATGTGGTTTGCTTGCAGCCAGCAGCCCCATCCCTCCAGCTTACCAGGACTCAGGACCCAATTCCAGATTGAAGACATCATTAAAATCACTATTAATTTGCTACATGAAACATGTGCCACTGCTCACACCGCCCCTCTGAACTGAGTCAGAGCTCTAAAGACAGAGAGGATCCCAGCACAAATTTTAGGTGACCAGCCCTCGTTTCTCCTGGGAGAAGTTCAGGATTCCATCTACAGCCAACACTGCTTGCCTGGCTGTGCACATGGCAGCCAGCTGCAGCTGGCCTGGACTCTGCCATGGGCGCTCATCAAGCCCACGGCTCCATGCGGGCACAAGGCACAGCCAGCTCTGGGCCACGATGGTGGACGAGCAGCAACCTGCCCTTCTCGCAGCCCGCAGCTGCTCCACGCTGGGCGTTGGGTGGAAGCTTCCCAGACAGTTCCCAGCTGTGATGGCCGGGCCCAGCAGCACACCGCTGCCCCGCAGCGTGCGGGAACGGTGCGGCGCCAGTTTGCAGCGATTAACCTGCTGCACGCTGAGCCCGCATCCGCCCAGCTCCCTGATCAAAGGACTGGCGGCTGCCTCTCTCCCTGGACCTGCTAAAAGCAATCACATTGCTGAAGTGCAGCTGGAGATGTTGAGCAGCACTGAAATGAGGGGACAACGTGCCAGCCCTCAGTGGGCAGCATCGCTCTGGCCTCAGCCTCTCACTGGTTCTGAGGGAGCTCCAGTGCTCAACAGCTGACAGAAAACCCAGAGGATGCTGGGGATGGCCGAGCTTGAGGCCGGCAGGCTACATGCCACAACAGCCCTAGGGGGGATAGCTGAGATGCCTCAGGGAAACCCAAGCGTGCCACAGCAGTGCTTGACTGCAGCAGCCAGCCTGGCACTTGTGCCAGAGAGGTGTCAGCCTGAGCCTCCAGGCACCCACCCCCAGCCCTGCCGGTGACATTCATGTCCAAATCCAGATTGAACCAAGACAGCCTCCCTAAGACCCTTCTGTCAAAGTGATGCAAATCTGCTCAGCCAAAAGGCTGAGCTCCAGCAGATGGTGTTCCCTCTCCCACCCTAGGGAAGCAGAGGTCTCCATGCCCCACACTCCCACACAGCACACAACTCCTGCCTCTTCCCAAAGCCCACACTGCCTGTCCTTTCCACTGGCAATTTTGCCTTTATCTCATTAAAACCCCCTCCCTTCCTCACCCTCCCAGCAGTCACCACTCCACTGGCTCTTCAGCATTTCTTATCACTCATCCTATCTTCACTCCTACGTCCTTGGCCATCAACTTTGGCCCTTTGCCGTGTGTTAACACCACAGTGAGGCTTTATCACTGTGGTCACATCACCTTCCAACTGGGCTTGAGCTCTTCCCCTGGTTGCCTTCCTGTGCTTGTGGGATGTGGATTTTGGGGCCAGCAAGGGGAAGCCTTTCACTTGCTTTCAGCTTTCATTATCCTCTGCCAGCCAGTGATGCCAGCAACCGCTGCACAGCCGGGGCAGCCACCACAGGATGCTGGGCCCTGCTCCCACCTCCCAGCCATTGGTCTCCAGGCAACTGCTAATTTTCAGGTCAGCAATTAACGCTGTCCATCAGAGCAATGACCAACCATGAGTCACCCCATGCCAGGTGCCAGGCCCACTATTTTTAGGACCTTGGAGGAGGGCTTGGTTACTAGCCATGGCAGAAGTCCGGCAAACACCCTAGTGTGCAGGTGCTGGGTGCTCTCATGTGCTCTAGTGTTTCAGACAGGCTGAGTGAGCTGTTCCCTCTGGCAGCTGGTCTGAGTCCCACAAGGACCCCAGCTGAGCAACCAACCAAACTGCTGGTGAGCACCTGGCAAGAGCATATCTGACAAGTAAGCCGTCGCAGCAAGTGACAGCAATACTGACACCAGCACACGTGTTGTGGCATCCTGCACCAGCAAAGAAAGCCCCCTAAGACCCTACCAGCCCTCCTGCATCACACTCACCTGCCACAGTGATGGTGTAGAAGGCAGAGTCCCCACCAGCATCGCAGACAAACTCCCCTGTGTCCTGTGTCTGAGCGCAGGGCAGCACCAGCTTGCACCGTGGCCCCTCCTGCTCCAGCACCAGGCTCTCACCCGCCTCCACCTCCTCTCCATCCTTGTACCAGTGCACTGGGGCTGCTGGGCGGGACAGCTGGCACCACAGCTCCACACGCTGCCCGGCCACGTACGTGTGTGGGGCTTCCTCGTTGGAGCTGATGATCCTCACCGGCACCTCTGCCAGGGATAATGTGGGCTTCAGCATGACTGGCTGCAGCCGTCAGCCACATGATGGGGGCAAGAAGCAGGGCAGGAGCACTGTCAGGAGGTAGGGCCAGGCTCCCACACACAGTCCCCAGCTCACCGGTCACGGTCACCACAAAGCTCACGGCATCATCCCCAGCGTCACAGGTGTACACACCAGTGTCTGAGGGACACGCTGAGCGGAGCAGCAGCCTCCGCACGCAGCCTTCTGCCTGCACTGCGATAACGTCATCCAGGGGCACTGCCTTGCCATCCTTCAGCCAGCAGACAGGGGCATCTGGGGTGGACACCTGGCATTCCAGCAGCACAGGCATGCCTGCTGGCACTTTTTGGAGCCGTTCGGCCTCAGACACCGGGGCAATGTGGACCTGTGGGGCTGAGAGACATTGAGGAGCAGTGAGAAGCATCTTCCAGCATGACAGCCCCTGCTGCTGGGGCCCTGGTAGGACTCCAGGGTGAGTGCCCCGATCACCTTGCACATGCAGGATAGCTGAGTCCTGCACACCACCGGACACAAAGGTGACCTGGGCCCCACTGTCAACCAGTCGTGCTCCTCGGATCAGCAGCGAGTGCTCCATCCCACGGCGCTGTACACTGCACCGGCCGTCTGCATCCTCCTCCTCACCCAGCCTGGCACCGTTGAGGAACCAGGATCCATGCACCGCAGCTGACAGCTCCAGGGAGAACTGCGCATCCTCACCATCCCTCACCCACGCGTCCTGCAGACCCCTCTCCAGACAAGCTGCAGGGGCTGGAGCACAGTCGGACTGAGCCCCAGTGGCACTGACTACCAGCGCACTGTGGCACGACACCCCAGCTTGTGCCTGTCTCCTCACCAAGGTGCACAGATCCAGGGAACTCCACGGGGCTGCTCCTGCCGTGCTTGTTGGCGGCAGAGATGCGGAAGCAGTAGTCGGCCTCGCGGGGCACGCTGTCGCCCAGCACCCGCACGCAGCTGGGCAGGTCGGTGGCAAGGCACTGCACCCACTCCCCTCCCGCTGCCTCCCGACGCTCCAGCAGGTAGTGGCTGGCGGGGCGGAGGTGGGAGTCAGGCGCGGGACACCAAGTCAGCAGAGCCGCGTTAGTCTCCACCACACTCATCTCAGCTGCCACCGGTGCACTCGGAGGGTCGTGCTTCACACCTGCAAGTCACAGCCCAGGTTGCCTGCTTGGGGATGGCAGTGAGGCTCTAGTTGGGGTGACAGAAGTGCTAAGTGGGGATGCACAGTCTGTTTCTTTGGGGATTCTCTCTCTGATGGAGAGGATGATCTTGCTCCCATGTAGTGTGCTGCTGGCTACAGGGGTTTGTGAGTGCCTGTGAGGCTGGGATCCTGGCGCCCTGCTCAAAGCCCCCTTCCCAGAAAACACATTGCAGCATCACACCCCCAGCACATTGGGTGCCTATTCCATCCCCCCTTCTGTATCACCCCTCATGAACAGGCAGCAGACAGAACACAGGACCCCTTCAAGCCTGGAGCTTACACTTGACTCGGAGCTGGGACGATGTCTGCGACTCCCCGACCGTGAAGGAGATGATGCCCGCGTCCTGGCGGGTGACATGCACCAGCACCAGCAGGTGTGTCCTGCTGAAGCTCTTGAGCACGGTGCGGGGTGACTCCCGCAGCTGCAGCCCATCCCGGCTCCAGCAGCTGCCCTCTACCACATCCCGCGTCTCCACACAGAAAACTGCATTCTCCCCCTCCATCACATCCAGCTTCCGTGGCAGCCGCTTCACAATCACGCCTATGGGAAGAGATATGTGAGGGCCAGGGATGGATTCTGGGGACCAGGATGGACTCTTTGAGGTGGGAGATGAGGAGGAGGAGGAGGAGGTTGAGAAGAGGCAGCAGCAGGCACCAGACAAAGGGAGGGAAGGCAAATGCAGGGGCAGTGGTGACCCTGGAAAGGAGGGGAATAGGAAGGCAAAGCTGTGCTACCAGAGACCTGACCCCACCTCGGACAGAGACCTCGGCGATGCTGCGTCCTTTGTCCTTCATCTGGCAGAGGTAGATGCCGTCGTCATCGATGCGGGCGTCGCGGATGGTCAGGCGCCGCACCAGCCCTTGCTCCTCCATCACATACTTGTGGCTGGGCTGCAGCTCCCTGTCCTCCAGGTACCAGGAGGTGGGGATGGTCTCCAATGGCACCTGGCACTCCAACACTGCATCCTCCCGCTCTGCTACCTCCACGTCTGCCAGCTGCACCTGGAACCGCAGCCGGTGCTCTGCCAGAGGAAGAGACGGGAGCTTGGGGCATGTGGGATACAGCATCCACTGTCAGTCCTCTGCCCAAGGTGCTCCCAGCTCACAAAGAGCAGCAAGCCCTTGTCTCTCCTTTGCCCTCTCCTTTGGCTTGCATGAGACAGACACTGCCTTGACAAGCACATCCCCCAGAGCAGGGAGGAGCAGGGCACAGCCTGGTGAGACACAGGGATGCTTCCAGTATTTCAGCAGGGAATTCTCGGGGATGCAGGAGCATGGAAACCAGCATGCTGCAGCAGACATCGAAGTGGAGGGGAGCAGTGGGGTGTAGGCAGGGGCTGCACCAGTTCCTGGGTAACCCCGGCCACGGGCTGTCCCCAGCTGGCTGGATGGCTCGGGGGGGGAATTGGGCAGCTGCCAGTGCAGACTGTTGGAGCTGTGCCCTGCAGGGATGGCTGCCAAAATCACTCAGCACTTCCAGGGGAATTTGTCACCAAGGCACTGTCCCTCTTCCCTGTTTGTGGCTGGACACCTGCAGTGATCCCAAGAAGCCACACCTCTGTTTGCAAGGAGAGAGACACGGAGCAGGACACAGCTCCTGGAGAAGTCCAGCATCCCCTGCTTCCAGCCCACAGCTCTGTTCTGAGGAGCCTGGGGTTACCCTGGCTGCACAGGGAAGGAAGGAGCCCAGAGATGATGGGCTCCCACACAGACACACCCCTGCCAGACAAACTTTCCTGAGCTCCCCAGGGCCCGGCCACCTCTGACACTCCTTGGACCTGTTCCTACCTTTCACCTGGAGCTGCACCGCGCTGAGGGTCTGGCCAGCAGTGTTGGAAGCGGTGCACATGTACAGCCCCTGGTCCTGAGGTTTGCAGTACAGCACCTTGAGGATGAAGTAGCCCTCGCGGTCCTCGTAGATGAGATGCCTGCGGCCAGGGGCGAGGGGCTCACCATCCTTCTGCCAGATAATCTCTGGCTTGGGCTTGCCAGTAACGTAACAGCGAAACTTGGCGTGCTTCCCTGCGCTCACGGCAAATGCCTTGGCCCCCGGCACCCTGGCCGGCATCACGCCGTTGGGCACCCAGCTCTCCGGTCCCACGCGCCGTCCCGCCGCGTGCCGCCGCCACCGCTGCCGCTCCGCCAGAGCCTCGGAACCAGCGGCTGGAGAGCCATTGGGGAGCCCGTCCAGCAGTGCCTGGGCTTCAACCAAGAGCACGGCAGCAGCCAGGGCCTCCTGGGAGCCACTGCGTGCCCGGCAGACATACACTCCCCCATCCTGGGGCCGGGCACTGAACAGCTTCAGGAAGTGCCAGTCCTCTGATTTCTGCCCCACTGCAAAGTGGCTGCTCTCAAAGAGTTCGGAGAGCTTGTGCCCGTCCTTCTCCCACTCCAGCACAGGGCAGGGCTGCCCAGACACCCTGCAGGTGAACATCACGTCCTCCCCCCGGCACACCCGCATGGACGAGGGGGCAATGAGGAAGGCAGGTGCAACACTGCCTGAGCATCCCTCCCCTTGCGGCTCCGCTGGCTCTACCCTGAGCACCGTGGCAGCATAAGTCTCGCCAACACTATTCTTGGCCCTGCAGACGTAGAGTCCACTGTCCTTGGGGGTGGCACAGGACACCAGCAGGCTGTACATGTCCCCTTTGGACTCCATATGGAAACGGTCTGAGGGCTCGATGATATTCTTGTCCTTTTCCCAGAGGATGCTTGGCTGGGGATCACCCACGATCTGGCAGCTCAGGACTGCATTGGTGCCACTTTGGACTGTGAAGGCACGTGGGTAGGCCAGGAACCTGGGGGCTCCCCCGAACCCCTCCATCACCAACTCCCCAGGGTCACAGCAGGCAGCTGGCTGGAGCAGCAGCAGGGACCATCAGCCTGGAGGGGATGTACAGACAGACTAGAGTGGGGGCTTCATCAAAGAGATGGACCAGTGTGGAGCCCCCAACCAGGCAGGACCCACACCTGGAGCAAAATCCCTAGCATGGACCCCCTGCTCCAGGAGCATCACCCTCATTTGGAGAAGCACAGCCCCACTGGACTTGCCCCCGAGTCACCCAAATAATCCATTTCCCAGCCCAAGGCAATAGGAGACATGACAAAAGGTGGCTCTTTGCACCCCGGGGGACTGAGACACTTGGAGCTTGTCCCAGGGTTGCAGAGGGGACTCCAGTTCCAGAGGTGGGGGACCCCTGCCTAGACAGCATGGGCAGCTGCTTGCTGGGGATGGGGGACAGCGGAGGCAAAAGGGCCCCCGCCCGCCCCTTCCCCACCCGCCGGGCATTCACATTCCTGCAGTATCGGGTGGTGGCAGAGCCGCATTCCTGCAGCATCTGGGCCGGCTCAGCGGGCAGGTGCTGACACGGGGCTGTCACGGGCGCGAGGCCCCGGCTGGACCGGAGCTGGAACTTCCTCCCAGGCCTGGGTGGGCAGGGGACCCCTGTGCCGGGCGGCCACCCCACAGGGCTGTGCCCTGGGGCAAAATGGGGCTCTGGGGAAGGGGTCCCCCTTCCAGAGAGTAGTCCCACAAGCAGGATCCAGCCCTTGTGCACTCAAAATTACAGCTGGAAATCATCAGTCCCCGGGGGCAAAATTAAAGCTGGGGAGGTGGCTCCTGCTTTTGCAACTGCCTCCATCCCTGGCTTTGTGGGTAACTGTGCCCACCATCAGGGGCAGGAGCGGGGCAGGGTGCTCTGTGCCTCCCCTCGGGGAGTGCACCCCACCCTCTGCCCACACCATGGCTGGGACTGGGGCAGGGTCGTCTCTGACTTGCTCGGGCAGGGGGAGGGGAAACAAAAATACTTCTCGAATGAACCAGAGGGTAGGAGAGGGCTGGTCTCCAAGGAGGGACAGGGACTGCGGCCAGCTTCTCCTTGCAGAGCCCTACCCCCGGGACAGTGCACCCATTCACAGCCATCTCTCCATCCACACGCCCCTGACCCGTGAGCCACCCCACAGCAGCTCCTTTGGACACAAGCAGATGGCTCTGATGGCTCGGCCGCACCATTGCAGCCTCCCACCACTCCCTTCCCAACCCCCTGCCCCAGGCAGCCCCCCAGCCCAGTCCCTGCCCCACTCATGTACCTCACTCTGCCACCTCTCCCCTGTGTCTCTCAGTGCCGGCACCCAGCTCCTGCTGCTTCCCCCAGCTCCCCTCCTGGGTGTCAGTGCGCAGGGACCAAATGTTACAAATGCCTGCAGCTGCTGTCCCCAAAAATACCCTCTGATGACACGCGGGGTTGATAAGAGTGAGCCTGCTCCGTTCAGCGCCTCGCCGAGGCTGGGCTGGCCTACCTATGTATAGCAGCCCGGCAGGAGCCTCCCCAGAGAGCTGCAGGGGTGCTGCAGGCCTGGCTGTGCCGCTGTGCTGGCTCTGCCAGCAGCGAGGGACAACGTGCCCTGTGGAGAGCATGGCATGGGCCGCAGGTGTGCTGTATGCTGAGCTGGACACCAGGCTGCAGTGAGGCAGGACGTGTCGCATGGGACATGCTGCATGGGGGGGATGTGCTGCACTGGATGCTGCATGAGATGCCAGGCTGTATTGGATGGGATGTGCAGGACACTGAGCTGCTGGAGGCACAGAGGGGATGCACAGGCTGCCCACCATCCACAGGGCGGGCAGGGTTAGTGGATAGGGAGCACAGAGCACTGTCCCCTCAGACAGTGGTGAGAGGAAGGGCACTGGGTCGCTTTACAGCCCATGCCTCTCCTGCAACTCCCACCCTGGGAGCCAGCCCATGGCTAGACAGCCCAAACAGCACCCTAGGATCCTTCTCCTGCACCTGCTGCAAGGTCTCCAGCTGGCCTGCCTCTGTCTCATCTGTTCTCCCCCTGAAGCCGGGGCAGCCTTCCACAGCCCCAGGAAGAGCAGGGACCTTTGCCATCCCTCCTGCTTCATGTCCTCAGGATCCTGCCAATCACCAAACTGTCATGGAGATGCCACAACCACCCTGCCCCTCAGCTTGTCCTTTCCAAGGCCCCATCCTCACATTCTGGCTGCCCTGGGGACTGCCACCTGCAAAGTGCCTCACCCATGCCAGAGCCTCACGGGCCTCTGATCCCCACCAGGTCCTTGCCCAGAGCTCCCTGCTGTGCACAACTGCTGTCTCTTCCCACTAGCTCCCCAGAAGCCCTAGACCTCCAACTCCTCCGCCATGGGGCACCCAGCATCAGCAGCTGTAAAGCTCACCCAAGGTACCCCCTCCATCCCTGCCAGCCGAGGTTCCTGGCACCACCGTGCCAGCAGCCCGGCCTCCCCAGCCCCACGCACCCAGTGCTCCCGGCAGCATCCCCCACACACACCCCCTTGCCCGGGCGCCGGCCCCCCCAGACCACACTGTCCTTGCAGTCCTCGCATTCCAGACGTCTCAGCGCTTTCACAGCTCAGAGATAATATTCACGGCGAGCAGACGTTTGCGTCAGTGTCAGATAGATCTCAATGCCACCCTGCCCCGGGGGGAGCGCAGTGGGCAGACGGGCTGGGCAGGCAGGCAGAAGCCCGCGGCAGAGCCCCCCAAGCCACCAGCCCGCTGTGTGCCCCACGGTCATGCTGCTGCTCCTGCACCTGCTGCCTGCCATGCTGCCCACCGCCGCCCTGGCCAGCTGCACCGCGGCGGGTGCCGACCGGCAGCTCGTCCTGGCCAAGGTGCGGGCTCGGGTGCTGGAACACCTGAGTCCCCCCCTTCTCCAGGAGGAGCCACAGATGGAAGCAAGGAGGGTACACCGGAGAGACGTCCTTGAAAACACCGAAGTGGGGCCAGAGGAGCTGGAGGACGCCTCCCAGGTGATCTTATTCCCTGCCACAGGTGAGAACGTCCTGATGAAAGGGTGAAGCAGGGTGGGGGGTTGGAGCAATGCAGATGCTGAAGGATGGAGAGGCTGATGTGGTGGTCTGTGGGAGAAGGGCAAGAAGGTATGCCAGGTTGGGACATGGACATGAGTGAGATTTGATGGAGAGCCAGGAGTTGGAAAGGTATGGCAGGCAGGGACAGGCAGAACAGTTCAGGACAGACAGCAGAGGGACAGGCAGCACAAGAGGGTGCTGAGAGGCTGGGAAACAGCTGGCTGGGCAGGCTGCAGAGACATGGGAAAGGCTGAGGAGCAGGGTGGAATAGGGTAGGATGCTAAGGAATGGGGCAGGATACTGGAAGGGCGGTTGGAATATGAAGGAACAGGGCAGGGTGCTGAAGCATGGGGCAGGATGACCAGCTATAACAGCAGGAGATGGGGCAGAATGCTGGGGGATGGGATAGGATGTACATGCCGGGGAAAGAGGGCAGGATGGCTAACTATGGGACAGGACTGGGAGATGGGCCAGGATGCTGGGGAGGTGGTCAGGATGCAGAGTATGGGAGAAGGGGACAGGTGACCAGTTATGGGGCTGAATGGGGCAGAATGCTGTGGAGGCTGAATGCTGGGGCACAGGGCATGATATGGACTCTGGGGGAAAGGGGCAAGACAGCCAGCTATGGGGCAGGATACTGGGGAACACAGGTGACAGTAATGGACCAGCCTAGGGCATAGTAGGGATCAGCTGTGGGGCATACATAGCACAGAAGCTGCTGCACAACACATCAGCTCCTCTGCACCCTGCCACAGCCTATGCCAGCAGCCAGGTGCCCTGCCAGCACTCCAGGGACCTCTGCAACATCCCACTTGCCATCTGGCATAGGAGATTCTCCCCAGTTTTGAGTGCACACCCTGATCATCTTTTCCCCCACACAGATGTTCCCTGTGAGCCCACACAGCCAGACAAGCTGCTGGAGGAAGAAGGGATTTTCACCTACCTCTTCCAGCCCTCGGCACACACCCTGAGCCGTGTGGTGACTTCTGCCCAGCTCTGGTTTTACACGGGCCCCTCGGCTGCCCCCAACCACTCCAGCCCTGACGTGCTGACCCTGTCACCTCAGGGCCGGGTGCCGGTGACTGCCATGGTGGAGCGGACACCCGAGCACTGGACAGTGTTTCACTTGGCCCCAGTGCTGCTGCCCCAGCTCTGGCAGCCGCTCTTTGTGCTCCTGGTGCGCTGCCCTGGCTGCCCCTGCCTGGCCGAGGGGGACAAGATGCCCTTCCTGGTGGCCACCACCCGGGCCAAGGGCGGTGAGAGGGCCCGTCGCTCTGCCATGCCCTGGTCCCCAGCCGCCCTGAGCCTGCTGCAGCGTCCCTCCGAGGAGCTAGCTGCGCACACCAACTGTCGCCGGGCTTCCCTCAACATCTCCTTCGAGGAGCTGGGCTGGGACAAGTGGATCGTGCATCCCAGCAGCTTTGTTTTCCACTACTGCCACGGGAGCTGCGCTGCAGGCCACGGGCTGAGCCACCGGCTGGGTGTGCAGCTCTGCTGCGCCGCCCTGCCCGGCACCATGCGCTCCCTGCGCGTCCGCACCACCTCCGACGGCGGGTACTCCTTCAAGTACGAGACGGTGCCCAACATCCTGGCCGAGGACTGCACCTGTGTCTAGGGCACCCTGCAGCCCAGCCCCGGACCGTGATCCCACCCAGGAGGAGTTGCTTTCTCAGTGGAACCCTGGCCACTGGGATGGGGCAGTTTGGCTGTACTGCCCTCCCCTGCACAAACCAGATTTTTGGGCTGGCCAGTGTGACCATCACACTGCCAGACTTGCCCTAGGGCCAGTCCCAGCTCAGAGCAAATCAGGGCATGGTGGGGCATGGATAGGCACAGCCTATGGCAAAGGCATCACTGCCCCGCCAAAGCCAGGCTGCTGTCTGCAACCGGATTAGCCCTCATCTCTCCCCACGTGCTTCCCTCCTGCAGTTCTGCACCTCCACAAAGACTGGTGTCTTCCTCCTGCTGCAGAGTTCAACAGCTTCCTCTGTGCTCCAGGCAGGGCCAGGCTGCTGCAGCAGGACCAGGATGTGCCTGGGTGAGCCCATGAACCTCACACTGGTGGCAGGGCTGGTAGCACACATGGCACCACAAGGTGCCCTCTCACAGCAGCACAGCTTGTTGGAAAGCTTAATGGGATGAGTGAAATAAACCTGTTCCCTTTACTAAAGCAGCCTGGAAACACCAGTTTCTGTCTAGATGGAGAATGAGGGGATGGGCAAATACTGTTAGAGGCATCCAGCTTTGATTTGGGGTGCCAGAGAGGGGACTGGAGTATGCTGGCCAAAATGGGCATGGTGTGGCTGGGTTTGATCCTGCCCCAGGCAGGGGTGTGCAGAGCAGAGCAACATCCCTTCTGCTCAGCTTGTGCAGGAACGGGGCAGCGGAGGGCTGGGGAGACGTGGGGATGGTGGGAGGATGGGGAGGCAAAGGAAAGCCCCGGACCTGGCCCCTTGGCAGTGATAGGGCCAAAGAGGAAGGCGGCCAGTGCAATCCCTCTCCAGCAGGATGATGACGGCTGCCCCGGCCGCAGCCGCCTCCTCACGGCAGGAACAACTGAGTCACCCTCAGCTGGGCAGCAGGGAGGTCCCAAGGCACGCACGGCAGCGCCAGCCCAGACGCACAGGATTCCCTTCCCACCCCTTCCTCCCGAACGAGCGGATGCAGCAGTTCAGTACAAAACGTCTTCAGCGTTTACTAATATAGATATTAAAAAAAAAAAGAAAAACAGAGTGACAATCATTTCCGAGTAAAAAACAACGCTACAAAAGTCCCCATGTGACCCAGGCTGAGATGATGAGGAATGCTCCACTGGCTCCTGGCCGAGCCCAGCTCGGGGCACCACGTCCCCACACTGTGAGGCCAGGGTCTGGCTCCGTGCAGGGGGTCCCAGCCCTGCAGCCAGAGTGGGAGGAGACAAGTTTTGGTCCAAGGGCGGCCTGCCAGGACAGGGCGGAGGCAGTGGGAACGACAGCCCCTGACCTCTGCACAGACATTTCCAAGCAGGCCAGCCCCGCAACTCACGGCCCCATGCCAGGATGCTACGCAGCACGGCCTCCCAGGCTACAAAGTCACTTTCTGGAAGTGCAGTGCCACCAGGACCCCTCCCACCCCCTCCAAGAGTAATGCCAGCCCAGCACTCTGTCCCACAGCTTGGCCCAGCCAGCCAGACCCCCAGCCTGCTCCCCTAAGTCCCCCTACCTTGGGGGGCAGTACCAAAATCACCAGCACATGCATCAGCCAGTGCTGCCACGGGTGGCAAAGGGCATGGGGGGCACAGGGAGGTGTGAAGACAACATGCTGGGGAAAATGGGTGTGGGAGGAGGAAAAGTGGGTGAAACAAGAGATG